TTAGGGGAAAAATTGATTTTCAATAGTGATATGATGGGAAATGTGTGGTTGAAAAAGAAAAAAAATTATTGATGTGATGTAAAATATTATATTATTGAAAAATGTGTGGTTGAAAATGATAATTGATTTACTGTAGAATTTTGAGAATCCCTCCCAAACAGGGACAAAGTGCTTGTTTGGGAGAGATTTTTGGGGAAAGAATTGATTTTGAATAGTGATATGATGGGAAATGCGTGGTTGAAAAAGAAGAAAAAATTATTGATGTGATGGAAAATATTATTTTATTGAAGAATGTGTGGTTGAAAATGAGAATTGATTTACTGTAGAAAAATTTAATCCCTCCCAAACAGGACCTAANTTGAAAATGAAAATTGATTTACCGTATAATTTTGAGAATCCCTCCCAAACAGGGCCTAAGTGCTTGTTTGGTAGGAATTTTTGAGGGAATAATTGATTTTTGAATAGTGATATGATGGGAAATGTGTGGTTAATAAAGAAGAAAAAATTATTGATGTGATGGAAAATATTATTTTATTGAAAAATGTGTGGTTGAAAATGAAAATTGATTTAAGAATCAATTCTCAAATAAAAAACAAACACCTCCTAAACGTCACTAACTTTTATTTATTATCACACTTATATTTTAACTTTTTCTTCATTACATTCTTATTTTTAACATTTTATTAATCAGAAAATCTTGTCCTAAATCATAATTTTCGCTCAAAAATATTATTAAAGTGCTTTAAAATAAAGAACGAATATTGAATCGCATTTTTACTTTAAAATAAAGAACGAATTCGTAAATTAAGATGCACGTGACATTCTTACTTTTATTCTGATTTGTTTTTCGCTTGCATTTGAACGATTTGTTTTGAAAGAGAATGGGGAAACAAATTTAGATATTACGACGATGAGTTTCTCGAATTTTAGGAAAATTTATGAGTTTGTGGGGTGTGATTAAATATGAGAGTTTACAAGTTTGATTTTCTTATTTTATTTTTGAAATTCAATAAAGAAAAAAAAAACTTATTAACCATTGTGCTAAACAAACTATGATGTTCGTAATTTTCAATTGTTGTAATAAGTCCAATAACATGCCTATCTCGCAACTTGGATCTATGTTCAGAATGAGGGACACGTTGTACTGCAGAGATAAAAGTTTGATGAAATAAATGATTTGCAATAAGTAATATAGGCACATATCATATACAAATTTGTCTTCTGAAATGAAAGTTTACAAAAAAAAAAAATGTAAGTACATAAAAATTTATGAAACACTTTCATTAATTCCGTAAAAATCTTTAGAAGACAATAAATTTTAATATATCTACAAAAGTTAATCCTTAAATTATTATTTTTGTTACAAATTAAGTTTGATGATGATTATTTTTATTATTACTTTATTAAAAAATATAACTTTTGTTAATAAATTATATTTATTAAATTAGTTTTTTTAGTTATCCACGGAACTAACTAACTTAGACATCATACTGCTAAAGCTATTTGAAATGAGTTCTTCATGGCCTCGTGTAAAGGTTAGGACTTAAATGTAATGTTCATCTCGATTCGAGTCTCGTCTTTGATTCATTTTGAAGGCATTGCATTCTTGTGTTGCCCTCTAACAACTATGGACTATTCTCCCGTCTTGTTTGGCATTGAGAATTTCATAGTGTAGTGATATATTTAAGTGATAATTATTGAAGATTTCAAAAATGATTGTCTCGTTCCAGCATGATAACTTGTTGCCACGGTTACCACTAGGATCTAGTTGTGAACATTGATTGTAGAGGGTGTGACACGGAGTGATGACATCTGCGACGGTGTAACAATGAATATTATGAGTGATGGAATCGATGATGACGAGATGTTATAAGTGGCGAGATCAATAATAAAGATCATGTAATACTAAATGTTAAGAGTGGTGGTGATGGTGGATATAGCTGACAAAATTTGTGTAACACATTGTTTTACAAGTAATGATGGCGACAATAGTAAAAACATGTGGTGAAACGTGTGTAATGTAATATTATAAAATATAACACATTGCGTTACAAAATTTATCGTAAAAAAATACAAATAAAAAAATTTGAAAGTAAATTTGGAATTAGAAAAATTCAATGTATCTGTGAATTTTTCCCTTAAATATTCGCTGAATGTTCTAATATTCAATTCAATTCAATCCAATCAGACTCTATCATATCATATGGGAGTTTTGGTATACAGGGAAACAGATCTTGATTGAGCCCAATTTTTTCAAAACTTGGGAGGGGGAGGGGGGTCATCGAGCGGCCACCTAATATGTAGAGCCAGTAGAGGCCTGATAATGCAAAGTGATCAACCTCAATAGCCAACATTGGGGTCAAATAGACAATCACAAATCTAGATTTTACTCACAGCAGGATTGCTATAGACAGCAATCACGAGTTTCAAGTAAAGGCCCCGTAAAAATTCTAACATTTAGGCCTTGTTTCGGAGTTACGACGTATCAATTATGAGCATTTTTTAAAGTACGAATTTTGAGTGTCTATGAGCGGATCGATTTTGAGTGATTTTAATAGCGATTTTTAAAACTATCAAACATATACTTGAGAATTTATTATCCACCGATTCTGAGAACTCTTTTAAAAAATAAAATTACATTTATGTCCCTTAGCAAAATTTTCAATTTATAATTTCTTATATGAATTTTTTCTCATAAGTGATATTTTACTTATAAGTAATTTTTTTACATACAAGCTAATATTTAACTTAAAAAATTAAATAAAGTTAAACATTTACTTAAAATTTTAAGTTAATATTTTTTAACTTATAAGTAAATTTTACAATTATAAGTAATTTTTTTACTTATAAGTAACTTTTTATATTTTATGTGGATTTGAATTTTATTAGTAATATTTTTATTTTATAAACAAATTTTTTTTACATAAAAGAGATTTTTTACTTATAAATAATTTGTTAATTTTAATGTAATTTTTTATCTTATTAGTATATTTTACTTATTAGTATATTTTAATTATAATGTAATTTTTTTTGTTTATAAATAACTTATTAATTATCATATTTTTACTTACAAGTTAGTTTTGAAGAAAATATTTTGGTTGAAAATAATTGTTTTATAAAGAGTAAAATTAGAAGAGAATATAAGAAATGGCAAAAATCTGTTGATTTAGTGGGTTGAGAGAATCAGTCAAAATTATGATAACCATCAAAAATTGGTGTCCAAAAAAACTAACAAGCATCAGTTCTTCCAACCACTCATAAACAGTGCCATAAAAAATCGATCAAAATAAGTGAAAAAAACTCCCAAGTAGGTTCTTAGTATAATTTGTTTGAATGTGGTTTGATGTTGATCACAATTACCAAAGAAAAAGAATCTTTTAATAACTCCATATACTAAGCCTATTTGACAATCATTATTCAAGGAAAAATAGAATTTTAAATAGTAATTTTTAAGAGAATGTTCGGTTAAAAAGTAAGTAAAAATTTTGATTTTATATGCGAAATATTTTGTTATTTGAATATGTAGTTTAAGACGAGTATATAAAAAAAATAGTTGAAAAATAATGTTTATCAAACGGGTCTACAAATGCAGGGTAAACTTGAATCAAGCGATCGACCTGAATCAAACTTCACATTTTCTCGCACGACCCGACCCTACTCCAATAAACTCAAAAAAGGTACTCCCAAAAAAACAAAGTAGAGAATTTCAAGTGCAACAACCAACAAAACACGCACACAATCATGCGGACACAAAGAAAGTTGGCCTTCCTTCCAAGCAAATAAAAGCTTAATCATACTAAATTTACATCATAATAATTTACACTTCGCCGGCGTGGCATCATTTAATTAGACAGTTTAAAGAAAAACAGTTTTTTCAACATCTTATTTGTTGACGTGATTAAACAATTCGTATGCACAAAGTATACAACTTGATTGACGCCCTACCATATGTCAAAAATCTGGCAATTGATCGAAAAATGTTTAATATGTTGTCAAGAACAATGTATCAAAATCTACCAACTCACATATGTGTAAATCAATGTTCAATCTTCATGTACATGTAACTTAATTCTTGTTGACAACACAACAAATGTCAACCATAATGTAATAAATATGAATACATGAGACATGATTAGAATCATACTATACTAACATTTTGGATGACATGCAAGATAATAGAAACGTCACGCGACAAAATTTCATTAGACTATTTAAAAAATAGTCAATGCTGTCATCCAATCATTTTTTGTTATAACTTCGTGTGTCAACCATGGTGTTAAAATTAAATTCCTCTTGCAAAACAACACAACCCCCATTCTGTCCCCATTATTTGAGATTATAATATTTGGAATAGTATTTTTCCAGAAGATTTATGGTTGAAAAAGAATGAAATTTTTTGGTATAGTGAAGTATTATTTAGGCCATGTTTGGTGGGGATTCTCAAAATTTTACAGTAAATCAATTCTTATTTTCAACCACACATTCTTCAATAAAATAATATTTTTCATCACATCAATAATTTTTTCTTCTTTTTCAACCACACATTTCCCATCATATCAAAATCAACTCTTCCCCCAAAAATCCCTTTGGGCCTGTTTGGTACAGCTTTTCATTTTCTACAGTAAATCAATTCTCATTTTCAACCACACATTCTTCAATAAAATAATATTTTCCATCACATCAATACTTTTTTCTTCTTTTTCAACCACACATTTTCTATCATATCATTATTCAAAATCAATTCTTCCCTCAAAAATTACTCCCAAACAAGCACTTAAGTGAAAAATGTATTATTGAAAGGAAGAGAGAAAAATATATTATAATTTTAACGGGCTAAGTGGGGGCATAAACCACATGATTATTGGCAGGTAGACGCGAGACAATAGGGTGACGCCACATGCGCCCCCAAAAAATGGCGTCACCCATAAACGCTACCTATATACTTGGCCCATCAATTTTCCTCTCTTCTTCAACAGACTCAAACTCACTCGTTCAATTCAATGGCAAACAATTTATTACTCCTTTTCTTTCTCCTCTTCTCCGGTACGATTCAACTCGGTTCAACACTGCCTGAACAACTGAATCAAGTCAACTCCAACTCTATCCTTGTTGCCCTCTTGGACTCCCACTACACTGAACTAGCCGAGCTCGTGGAGAAGGCCCTTCTTCTATCAACACTAGAACAGGCAGTTTACACCCGTAATCTTACTATTTTTGCCCCACTAAATGAGGCCCTTGAGCGCGATCTCGACGCAGAATTCAAGCGGTTCCTACTCGAACCAGGCAATATCAAGTTCCTTCAGACCCTCCTCTTCCATCACATTCTCCCCATTAAGCTCACTCAGGGAAGTTGGCCCACAGAACCCACCGAGTCAACTCGGCACTCTGCCCTTTCTAACGATCATGTTGTATTTTCATGTAGTTTCACTTCAAACAATTCTCGGAGTACTAATAAATATGTTAGTGCTGCGAAGGTTGTACATCCAGACTCCATAGTCCGTCCTGATGGAATCATTCATGGAATAGAAAAAGTACTAATCCCAGAATCCGTTGAGCACGCATTCAACAACAGACGCAGCCTCAGATCAATTTCTGCAGTTAAACCAGAAGGAGCCCCAGAAATTGATCCGAGAACCCACAAATTGTTGTCAAAGAAAAAGGCGAATTCAGTACCAATCGACGCTCGTGCACACTCCAAATTATCAGTATACAAGGCTATGGCACCAGCAACATCCTTGGCTCCGGCCCCTGGTCCAGGTGGGCCTCATCACCATTTCGAGGGCGAGAGACAGGTGAAGGATTTCATTCAATCACTCCTCCACTACGGCGGGTACAATGAAATGGCCGACATTTTGGTTAATTTGACAAATCTCGCTACAGAAATGGGGAAATTAATCAGCGAAGGCTATGTTTTGACAGTTTTAGCTCCAAGTGACGAGGCCATGGCAAAACTCACAACCGAACAATTGAGCGAACCTGGTGCTCCTGAACAGATAATTTATTATCACATTGTGCCGGAGTACCAGACCGAGGAGAGTATGTACAATGCCGTGAGGAGGTTCGGGAAAGTGGCATATGATACACTGCATGTCCCACATAAGATTTTGGCTAAAGAAGCTGATGGGTCGGTTAAATTTGGCGATGGCGAGGATGCAGCTTACTTGTTTGATCCAGATATTTACACAGATGGGCGAATTTCAGTTCAGGGGATTGATGGAGTGCTGATTCCACCGGAGGAAAAGAAGAAGGAATTGAAAATTGCGAATTCAAAATGTTAAGAATTTCAACAAACCAAGAAGAGGCACGTTAAACTTTTTATGATTAATTTTTTCCAAGATTTTATCGGTGGTTGAGGTAATGGTAATGGCGGCCGGAAGGTGGTAGGGGTGGCGGCGTTGAAGCGGTGAGGGGAAGAGTTGTGTGACGTGTGTCGGTGTTTGTTTACGAGGGTAAAATTGTCTTTACGTTCTTTAATACGGGTTTGTTGCTGCATCACCTGATTCTTTTGTTGGCCTATACAGTTGATGTAATAAGAAAATTTTAAAAATAAAAATAATTGCTGAAAAAATCAGTATTGAGTAGAAAATTTGTCAATTGAAACATACGTATAGAATCGTAGAAACATTGGACAGCAAGTATTGTTATTCACCAGTGTCTGGTGAAGTATGTTTGTAGGGGCAATATAGAGCCAAACCAACTCGTAGACTAAGAGGCTAGCCTACTTGGCCATGGGGGTCGAGCCGATCCCGCAACGAGCACCAGGACACAAGCTCAATTCAACTTGCCAAGCTGAAAATGAGCCCGGCTCAACCTTCGTCCCATTTAAATGCAGGCTCTAACTGCTCATAAACTAGGCTTTCGTGAGTTGGCGTGCCCTCCTCCAATGGCCAAAGTAAAATGTGGAAATTTTTTTATTTTTCTTTTTTCGTTTGAAATGTTTTAATGTATGAATCAAATGTTTTATTTAACCTTATAAAAAATGACATTTACATTCCTATGTAATTTTCTTCGTCGCCTCTTCCCCTTCTCACACACCCGGTATTCCTCACTAGTAATCTTTTTCACTTCTGCCTGACAGATAACCGTCCGATCAACTGACTATACTATGATGAATGAATCAAGGAAATTTACTTAGTATTTTGTTGCTAGTTATGCTTATTTTAACATGTTTTCAACATGACATAGAATGATTAATATTTTACAATATCTTTTCATCTTATTTTATTGGAGGCCGACTTTTCATAAACTGACAGAAGTTATGACATTATTTTGAGGCATTTTTTATTTACACGTTATGTTTGCAGAAATGTTGACTCGCACATATGCACTCGCCATTGATGTTACTCTTAACATGCAGGGAAAATGCTTGAAGTAGCATGCAGTCTGCTCAGGGTGTTCGGCCATGATTCCCAGTTTATCAAATGCCAGGAAAAGTAAGCTGGCGTCTCACTGAGGGCAAAAGGTAATAAAAAAAATTTGGTATACAGACCCGAACTTAATTCGAATTTTCATCTGTTTGTGCGATGCTTCTTGATGGTAAAACAAAACATTTGTAGCTGGATGCTCTGTCTAATTGTGTTGCTGATGCAGTAATCTCACGTGAACATTATCACTCTTCATCACCGTGAACACGTACAGGAGATATATAGTGTCAAGTATGAAATCCTTGAACTTGGTCTGTGAACGATCACTTCATCTAAAAGTTTAAGCTATTTTAAGAAAAGGGGACAAACTTATTTTTAAAAATTTAATTTTCAACATGCCCCCTCGCATTCATGCCGAGTTATTTTTCATCATAGTCACAATTTCATTAATGGGTGGTAACAAAGTAAGACTTATACCATCTTTGATAACATGTTGTACCGCTTCACCCAAACTTTTAAACTTCTTATTTATATCTTCGACAGTATACAAAAATAGCTTATCCATTTGGGTGCTGTGTGCTCCACATTCATCTCATTTCTGCGAAAACTCGTAAAGTTTGTTTAATCAATTATGGCCTGATCATAAACTTCTATTTATTGCAGGCACATCAATAATGTACACAATCCTACTTCAATATTTGCTTTCTTCTGCATAAACCAGACAGAGCAGTGGATTTTGCGATGTAAATTGCAGCCACGACACAAAAAGATAAAGAAATAGACTCAACCATTGGTAGTTGCACAAGATTTTGGTACCCTGTATTTTGTTTATAGTCAATAATGCTGGTGAGGGATTCATTTTGTGTGTTTTAGATGAACGGGGGAAGACATGGTTGTGGTACCTAAACCTACCTCGATAAAAGTTTTACGAAATTCACAGGGAATAATCAAATAAATATCTTTTCTTTTGAATAGGTCAGTCAGATAATGTGAAAGCACATGCTTCCAATAGAAAAACATAAATATGATATTCCAAATAGTTATAAAAACAGAAATTGTATCAAATAGAAAGGTTTCATGGTTTAAAAAATATTAATAAAACACATAGCCTGAAAAAAAAAAATCATGTTTCGTTATGCTAAAATGCATTTTGAAATAGTGTTTTATTGGTGAATGTGTGGTTAAAAAAAAAGGTTTTGTAATTTTATTTTATGGGAGAATATTAGGGGTTGTTCTCTTCGTATTTAAATTTTGAGTTTTGAATTTATTTTGGATTTTGTGTTTGAAGTGTTCATTTTGAGATTGTTGAAAATGTGTTCTTTTTGGCATTTTGAAAACACCCAAAAACGCGTTTTGAAAATTTTGGGATTTTCTTTGTAAATTTTTAACTTGTTTTCAAAAATATGTTTTCGAAAATAGGCACTGTTTTGAAAAATCGAAAATAGGAAACGACTTAAAAATGGTAAAGAGAACCGACCCAAGTTTTTGGAAAAATGGGGACCAAATTTTTTTTAGCATGAACCAGATTGATGCCTGGTTTTTTTAGTGTAAATAATTGGTTCAGTTTTCATAACATTATTTCTTTTAAAAGTTATAGGAAATATTTTTCTTTTATATTGGTGTGCCTCTTCAAAAACAAATTTTTATTATTTATTTTTGGACGATATTAAACTGTCAAAAACAAATATTAATTAATTAAAATAATATTTTCAAATAACCTAAAAGAAATTATTTTTTATGCATCACGTCGATAATCTAGCAGTGTAATATAGATGTTAGGTCTATGACTATGAGATAGTAAATTGGACGTGTGTTGCTAGCTAGGTAAGCACTACAATTCCCTCGTATGAAGAGAGATGTACCCTTGCTGGGGGTAGGATCCTTTCTCGATCGGATTAGTTTCGACACGTGATTCATAGTGAATTATTCTCATTTTCGACACATGATTCATAGTGAATTATTTTCATTTTTTCACGACTCCACGTGCTGAAATTTTCTTAGCTGCCAATTTTACTATGTAACTTGGTTTAGTGGAATGACGTGATCACACGATGCGTTCAATGATCAATAATTTAATTTGTGTCTTTGAACACTGTAATTGGTGGATTTATCATCAAACAGGCTGATATAGTTAGGAAAGAACTTATGATCTAGCAATTCTAGTAATGTTTAGGATAGTTGGAGAGTCGCGTGTAAAAAAATCGAGCTCCTAATCTAGAGGTCCAATGGGTCCCAACAGTTGGAAAATATAAGGATAGTTGAACAATAATTTATAGTTCTCACGACTTGTTTGGCACGGAGATTTTGTGTCAAACAAACCCTAAATTATATTGTTTCCATAGATGATGACAAACTATACATGGTCAATGACATGGATCAATGTCTTACAAATTGGATCGGACAGTCCGACTAGAATGGTGAATTCATGGCTTGGTATGTTGTCCGGTTTAATCTACGTTGTTGGACCACAATTGTAACGTTATCATGCTCGATTTCGTGAAATTTACATGCAATTGTGAACTTTTATAGATGATAAAAAAAAAAAGAAGATGAGCTGCATCCTAAGCCTTGGTGAATGAGGTAAATCTCAGATTATACCTCAAAGGGTACAGGTTGGAAGGCTGCTTATACACTTGCACTTATCCAAGGGTCAAATCCATATTTCAAGATTCGAACCCTTGACGCGATAGCCTCAAGCAAAGCTGTAGTTTTTCCACATTCCCCTTTTACCACTTGAAGATGTGCCTTGAGGGCAACTTTTATAGTTGATAGATTAGATGTCACGAGGTTTTATTTCAATACAAAGCATATGGTCTGTTAATTAATGTGTTAACATCATTCATAATTTTAATTCTTGTAATAACATGCATATCTTACAACTTGGCTCGTGCTTTACAGATTACTAAATTTACAAATTACTTATAGAAACGTAGTTTGGGTTAGTGACTCGAATAAAATATTTTCTTGAGTAATAAGTGTATGTTTGGCAAAGGTTTTGAGTACTTATACGCGGGGGCGAATCCAGTCTTATAGTTCAACACGGGCGGAAACTGTTGACCGGTGACCGTTGTCATCAACGATCATAAACACCATTAATTTTTTTCACTTATCCCTAAATCATAATTTCCCAAAACCCTAAATTCCCAAATCACAATTCACAAACACAATTACAATTAAAAATTATAAGTCATAACTCATAGTGACAATAATATAACATAAATGCTCATTTCTCATAATTCACAAATTAATAAAAAAAAAAAAAAAGGGGGGAATAAATACAGAAATACAGTTAACAGAATTCACCCAAAAATCTATAAATTCTCATTTAGTCATTTCAGGAAATAGGCAAATTCAAATAAATAGCCCACTCCTTAGGCAGGCAGAATCGTAGCATAACGCAGGAGAAGCCGAGAACTAGAAGAGACAAAGTCACGAAGCCGAAACTCAGAACGGAGAACCTCCACACTGCTCTCCAGCCCAAAAACTCACGCCTCCAGTCACCAACCTCCACCATTCTCCTCAAAATAATTTCGCCCTCGTCGCCCAAAAACTCACAGTTAATTTCGTCCTCCTCCGCTCCTCGCCCAAAATGGAATATTTGGAAATTGAATTTGGTTAATTGGTTTTGTTGTGGCTATTGGAATTAGGCCATTGGCTAATAGAATTCAAGCAAAAACCATGGCCATGGATTGGGCTAATCAATTGGGCCTTATTTTTTTTAAATAAGGCCCAAAAAATTTTGGAATTTCCTGCTTCCACACCAGTTCCAGCTCCCGTTCACTCCATCGCCTTCTTCTTCATCTTCTTCCCGGCTCCCGACGAACAGTCTGCAGCTTCCAGCAGACCCAGCAAGGGCGACCGCGGGAGCTGGTCAGGTGCTTACACATGACACTTGCGAAATGTATGAATGATAA